CCCCTCCGTCCTGACGAGTTGTATGTGTCCGCAACGGAGGACAACATTCATTGTAAACAACAAATTACAAATGTACCTATACGTGTCAGATGGGTGCATTGTTTGTGTGACGCGATTGTATTAGATGTGCAGGCATATGATGTGCTGCTAGGGATCCCGTGGCAGGTGGCGGTAGGAGCACGAATGCATTTTGACAGCTCTAAGGTGGTGCTCACACCGGCTCACCCCAAGCCTCAAACAATACCGATGAGGTTGGCCGTGCGTGTGCGCATGCAACCAGCTCCTCGCATTTCCACTGAGGCCCGTAGGATCAATATGATTCGGTCGTCACCGATGGGCGAAGAGAGGTCTACGATAAAAACTGAGCATTCGGATGCACCCAAAGATATCCAATCCGAATTCAAGACCGTTACCATGAATCCTGGCAGTGGAGGTCCGTCGGGGATATCCGGAGCGAGTCTAGCTGGTCCCAAATGTTCTCCTCCACCCTAAAATGGGAACCCTTGCTGCGGGTATCACGGATAGCCGATTTTTTGGAACCGCCTGCGTCCTTGTGTCTAAGGATGGACCGTCTCCCGGAGAGATTTACCGAACTTAGGGGGCTATGCGATCTGTCCTTTATGCCTTCGCGACCCTTACTAACAAATGCCAAGACCGCCTTACTTCTGGAAGAAGGGGTGTCCTTTTCACCCAGGTCCTCTGAGTACAAATGGGGTCCGAAGGAACTCCTATAGTCCTTTTCAATAGAACTCTCGGCCAAAGTCGAATCCGATGGCGAAGGCAGAACGGAGAGGGAACCGATAAGCCAGGTGGACAGTTAACTCATAGCCACCGTACTCTCGGTAAGAACGAATAATTCCTTGTTCGGAGCCTCCCTAGAGGAAACCGTCCGGGTTTCAACTGTCACATCAATGGTTTCCCTTCCTAATGGGAGCATCGACATCCAACTACCCGCCCATGTACCTGGCAAATATCGACGCCTCCTTCTTGCGGTAATACAGGCCTATCCCGAGGTGGTCAGTATCCATGATCACGACATAGGGCTGACACACTCGATAGAGCACGAGATTGATATCGGGGGCCACGCCCCAATACACTGTCGATCGTACCGCTACTCATTAAAGGAAAGGTAATTAGCCCTGGATAGGGTACGGGAGTTCGAGCGTTTAGGATGGGTGGAACCCTCCTTTGGCCCCTGGTCGTTCTCTGTGGTCCTGGTGCCGAAACGAAACGGCACAATCTGCGTTTGTATTGACTACCGGAAATTAAACGCTATCACCACCAAGGACGTCTACCCGCTGCCCTGTATCGCACAAGGGGTTATCGGGTAGCTGAAAATTCAGGAATGAAAATTCTGAAGTGAGAGTTTTAGGCACTCTGAAAATCCTGAATGGTCTTGAAGTGGTGAAAGGTCCGAAGACCCTGAAAACCACCTGTTTAGGCAGGCTGCATCCTGAAGTGGTGAAGGGTGCCCTGAAGTGGTCTAGTGAGAACTTTGGGCAGTCTGAAAATCCTAAATGGTCCTGAAGTGGTGAAAGGTCCGAAGACCATGAAAACCACCATTCACCACTTGAGGATGCAGCCTACCTAAACAGGTGGTTTTCAGGGTCTTCGGAGCTTTCACCACTTCAGGACCATTCAGGATTTTCGGACCTGAATGCTCCTGAAGTGGTGAAAGGTCCGAAGACCCTGAAAACCACCTGTTTCGGCAGGCTGCATCCTGAAGAGGTGATGAAAAATACGATTGTTGTTAACCTTCTCTCCTGTATCGACGACCTCTTGAACGTCATCGGTTCCACCCAAGTCTTCTCAAAGTTCGATATCCGACACGGTTTCCAACTTTCCACCATGTCGAGGTGACGCGGTCTGACCAGAAGACCGACCTAAAACGGGCTTAGTCTTATTCGAGGGCACGTGGCAATGGATCAGATGTCCTATGAGACTCTGCAACGCCTCTGCGACATTCCAATGAGCCATGAATATGCCCTTCGCGAAATTCGTGAACAAAACCCACCTGACCCAACCCCTGATAAATTTTTGTGTGATTGTGTATATGGACGATATCTTGGTCCTTTTGAAAACACACAAGTACCATGTGGAACACGTCAAGTGGGTCTTGCATGCGTTGAAAGACGTAGGGTTCAAAGTGGCTTTGGAGAAAAGTGAGTTTTTCCTGTCGGATATTTTCTTCTTTGGGTACATCGTCACGGTGGATGGCCTGAAACCGGATCCAAGGAAGGTAGCAGCCGTACAAGAGGCCCCAACGTCGATCACACTCACTTAAGTTCGAGCCTTCCTAGGCCTAACATCTTACTATCAACGATTCATTCAAGGGTTTGCCTGCATCGCTAAGCCTCTGACGAATTTGTTGAAGGAAGAACAGTTGGTCTGGACACCAGAATGCGAGGCAATTTTTTGGGCGCTCAAAAAGACCCTGACCACCGCACCTATTATGGCGCGACCAGATCCGACAAGGCCGTTCGCTCTTCATACCGATTGGCAATCGTAGGCAATATCGGCAGTGCTGACCCAATAGGGAGTGGACGGAAAGGAGCACGTCATTAAGTACGTCTCGAAGACACTGAGCTGGGCGCAATTGGACTACGAAGCTTGCAAGGGGCCAAGGGCGAATGCTTGGCGGTGGTGTGGGGAATCCAGCATTTTCAACCGTATTCCTACGGTCAGAAGTTCGACGGATCATCAGCCTTTGTTGTCGTTACAAAACAACACGGATTATACGGGAACTTTGGGAAGGTGGGCAGTGAGGCTACAAAACTACGTTTTCGATATTTGTCATCGCGCTACCAAGCAACATGGGAATGCGGATGGACTGACCTGCCTCCAGCCACCGAAGAGTTGCCCGGCGAACGAGGACTCATTCCGTGGAAGCTTGCCTCGCCCCCGACGGAGCCTCTCTACGTGGAGGTGCATGTCTTTCGCAAAAGAACTCTTGAGATACAAAATGGAGATCTCCCCTGAAGAGGCAACTGCCCCTTCGTCTTTTCCCTGTTCTTCGACCCACTCCTCTATCCCCGACTCTTCTTCATGTTCGCCTATGAACAACTGCTTCTTTTGCACATTGCCTATGATATCGGATCGGGGGGATTCCCACCCGGGAGGACCTAGTTTTGTCTCATGGGTACAATGTAGCCAATGTTGCGTAATCCGGTTTCACGGGTGCCGCATTAGGTACCAGAGCGAGAAAAGGTGGGTCTGTCCCGACTGCCGAACGGACCAAGTACCCACAGAGAAACGATACTTAGAGGCTAGGACAGAGGATGGATTTTCGCCAAGTGCCCGTAGAGCAGAAGTCTGGACGGATCTCCTTTTGTTAAGGAGACTAAAAGGGGACCCGCTGGCGGAGATTACTAAGGCAGAACGTCGGCGAGTCACGGAACGGGCTCATGATTATCGTTGGCAGGAATCTGCCCTGCAAAAACGAAACAACAATGATGATAGCAGGTCTAGCTGGCTGACGGTTCCACACCGTCTTGCTAGGTTTGATTGGACACGAGCTGCACACAAAGAGGATGCGGTCCACTTCGCGGTCAAATACACGGAAAAAAACCATTGAGAAAAACGGGTGGTATTGGTCGGGAATTCGGGAAGATGTTAGACACATCGTCCAAAATTGCCCGGCCTGTGCGGCCGATAAGGCGTTGATACAGATGCCCCGAACAATGGTACCGACTAGGGTAGAACGCCCCTTTCAACAAGTTAGCATCGTTACGACGGATATCAACGTACCGAGAGGTCCTGTCCACACCGTCTCGTTAGGTTCGATTGGACACGAGCTGCACACGAAGAGGATGCGGTCCACTTCGCGGTCAAATACACGAAAAAAAACCATTGAGAAAAACGGGTGGTATTGGTCGGAAATTCGGGAAGATGTTAGACACATCGTCCAAAATTGCCCAGCCTGCGTGGCCGATAAGGCGTCGATACAAATGCCCCGAACAATGGTACCCACTAGAGTAGAACGCCCCTTTCAACGAGTTAGCATCGTTACGACGGATATCAACCTACCGAGAGGTCCTGTCGATCAGGGTGAGCTCAATGTCTTTCTAGTGGTTGTTGATCATGTTTCCAAGTGGATCGTGGCCTACCCCATGACTAGTCGAAACTGGTTAGAAGTAGCCTGGACCTGCCTGATATATTAATCGCTTTCTATGCATTCACTTGGACGTAGAGGAGGTACATATGGACAACGAATTTGAATTCCAAGGGGAAGGAGAGCGACATCTCGTACGGGCCGACGTTAGGATGCCATACTCACCAGGGCACTGGCCACAGGCCAGTGGGTTGGTAGAGAACGCCAACCGAATGATTAAGACCACCCTTAGACGAAATATTACTGCAAGGGATACCAGGCCCTGGCCCATCATAGTCGACCATATCTTGGCCGTCTATCGGGCTAACCCCCAGGGTAGTACAGAGGTGTCCCCATTTCAATTAAGGACCAATAGTGTCCCCCGCGTGCAGATGTCACCTCTAGTGGGTACGGAAGTTAGAGCGACTCGGGCTCAACACCGAGATAAGGCCTAACATTACATGGATTTGATGACTAGGACCTACCTCGCGTTAGCCCGAAGGCGATAGAAGACTGTGGATCGGACACATCAACGACAAATTCAAGATTATGAGAACAGATATGCATCCACAGGCCCACTGCCCCGCTATAAGATCGGGGATCTGGTGCAGGTACAAAAATTTGTGCGCTCCTCCAAGATTCATCCTCGTTACACTGGCATTGACGAGGTCACGGAAGTTGGGCACGAGGCTAACACTCCATGAAACTGGTACGCAGACACAACACACAAGCCAGGCCGCTGGCTCGCCATGCCGCAACGCTTAACCCATTTCAGCCATTGTTGGACCACGAGCGGACTCCTGCTCCATCCAGGTCTTCTTCTTCCTCCTCGTCCTCCCCTGCTTCTTCTTCCTCTCTCCGATCCGCGTCGTCCTTTTGTGTTGAGACTCTTGAGAGCTTGATTGCACAGGATGAGCCATCGCCAGTTGGAGCATGAGCCGATTGAACATTTTCAGGCGCCGATCGCGGATCACTTGCTGCGGCGTCTGTTTAATGACGATCGCCAACAGCGATACGACATCCAGCAGGTGAACGTACCAGGGCCTAGCATTGCGGATCTCGCCACATATTCGCTCTTGTGTGAGCAGGTGACATATGCGGGGGTGTTTGTGGACGTGACGCAACTGCCGGATCGGGAGACAACGAGAGTGTTAATTGAGTTCTGTATGCATCGAGTGGCGGCCAATTTCGTGCACAGCGTCGCCACATTCATCGGTGACTTGACGCTCTTGGCGGAGCGGCATCGGGAGCCGGTGCGGACTTTCCTACGGGATTACGCGGTACAAGTGGCGAGATCGGTTGCCCGGGTGCAAGGGCGGGGTGGCCATCGCTTCACGACTTGCGAATCGTTATTGCGATGGGCGCCAGATGGCCCACTAGCACTAGTGCCTCAGCTACCTGCACTCTTTCCTCCCGCTGACCATCTCAACATCTAGGCCATTCCCCCTCCCTCGTACGAAATGCCTCCCTTCTTCTCTTATACCACCCTTCCCTACCAGCTTACGGAGAGTCCCTATCCCATGCGCAATTTCTAAGAGTACCTGGTGGAGCTGACTTACGTGGAGTCGTTGCCATTCGCTGACGAGGACGCATGGGAGTTGCATCAGGCACTATATCGATCGGTGGTGCTAGGTATGTTCCGGTTCTACGTGGCGCACAATGACCACAACATCGGCGAGCACTAGCTCATATATGACGAGACCCAAGTTGGAGCAAGAGGGGATGGTGGCGTTGTACCAATTTGGAAAGATCGGGACAAACAGGTCGGGTCTGTTGGAACTCATCCACATTGAGCTACTGTCCATCGCCCAAGTGATCGCCAGTGAGGAAGCAGATCTTCAACCCCTGTTGCGCACGGCATCAACGCCGTTGTCGGACCAAATACCCTTACAAGGGTATTTGGCCATGTTTTTGCAGTCGACACAGCGACGACATCGGCTACCAAGACGGGGCCGGTCCGAAGTTCAAGGCGCGTGCATTTTTCGCACGACACTTTTAAAAGATCTCCTCGACCATTGATGTCGGGGCAAATCAGTGAGAAAATTTCGTTAAGTATGGGCGCACGTTATTAAGACGCTCGCTCTGCTGGTTAAGGTCAGTAGTAATACCCTTCGACCAGAAAGGTCGAGGGGTCAATTGAGGTAGTGTTGTGTCCGGTAGGTCTACGGCACGCACTGAGACTTAATCATCGGTACATTAGTCAACATAAATTAATATACGCCCCGACCATACGGCTGGGGCAATTAAAAGTGTGCGATCGTCAGGTTTGAGGTAGCGCCCTGAAATGCTAAGCGCTTGCTCAAGGGGCATACCGCAAGTAGGGTTGAGGGTCTCACACGACTTCCCACTTGTGGTGAAGCAGTTGCCTCTTGGGCAGTGACTTTCTGGTCGCTCGCCTCCCGAAGGACCTTCTCCCTTTTGGAGGAAAACATTTTTGCAAGCTCTGATATCGTCCGCACAGACCCTAGACTCGGGCTACTTGGACTGGTACCCACCTACCTACCACTACCGGGCCTCTAAAGATGCTAACTTTTGTTCTCTTCCGCTCAGCGGCCGGTTCCGTACATATCTACCACTACTTGGGTGATACTGGCAGACCCGCCGCTTGAGTGTTTTCCCGATTGCAGCCCTCAATGTTATGGCTACAGGTAAGTACCGGCCCTCGGACCGTCCGAGCAATCAAGTGCCCTTGCAGGGCACACACTCACTCATTCAAGCCGACAAGCACTCGGACAAATACGCAGACCAGCAAGCGTACACACACACAGACTTAGAATTGGGCTCGGGCCACTAGGCGAACCGAGCCCCATTCTTCTACTTATACCGGGACTCCTATCTTACTCGAAGCAGGAGCTAGCCTGGTAGGTTTCGGTATGGATTGATGAGTAACAGACTCGAGGATCGAGTCCATTTGCCTGCGGGTTAGCTCCTTTTTTGACAAGGAGCCCCATATGATTTCGCCCCTGTTCCCGTGAGGCGGGGCTTGAACCCATGACCTCATTATCAAAGTTAGTTATAGTTAGCCCCGTTGAAACAGAACCTGACACTTGGCATGTTAGGGTAGTTAACAGTTAGATTTTGTTAGTTTTCTGTTTTTCTTTTTTTTTCTTTTATTTATTTTTTCCTATTTTTTATTTTATCTTTTTTCTTATTTCTTATTTTCGGTATTCCTCACCAGCCCGTATCTATGGCCAATAGTTTACTTTGATGAATCTGCCGCATAATCCAATGCAGATTCATTCTGAGGTAGTTATAGACTTTCCACTGCAGTAGCGAAACTTCGGGCGTGGTTGGTCTGCCTTTGCCTCTCGTGCGGTAGACGAGGACTCGGACAGACCCGGGGATGAGCAAGGCGAGGAGCATGCAGAGTGCGAATGGGCGACACCGGGAAAAGTGACGTGTGGTGCAAC